TGGGGTGACCATTGATTCTCCCCCTTAATCTGGTTGACATTCCCCAGCTCCCGCCAGCTCAGGCTCCATGCCCAGGAAAACCCAGTGCAGTGGGAAAGGGGGGAGAGGGTTCTCTTGCTCTTGCTCTGACCTCCCTTACCCCTTGCCCCCAGTGCCACAGCTCCGACCTCCCTGTACCTGTGCATGCCTTGGGCTTGAGAGGTGACCAGAGTTGACTGTCCCTCCTGGGCCACTTGCAGGATCCTTGGAGGTTCCTCAGAACTTCAGTTGAGCATGGCAGCCTCCTGCTCTGCCCTTCAGGTCATCCTGGTGGGCAGCCGAGGCAGTGCCCAGCCAGCTCCCTTGCACATCCACGAGGGCACAGAAACTGTCCTGCCACCTGCTGGCACCAGGCACGCACCATGGCTCACACTCAGCCGCTCCATTGCAGAGGGACACACGTGTGGCCCGGCTCCTCCCTGTCCATGTGCCACAGCAGGAGGAAAGTTGGGGGAATGTAATCATGTGTCCAGGTTCCCAGTGGTCGTGAATTCAAGGTGAAGCCAGCTGGCATGTTATGTCCTTTCCCCTTCCACACCAGCTGCTTGGTGCTGGATGGTGTCCAGCTGGGGCTTTACAGGTGGGCGTGTGCCAAGAGGGGGTCAGAGGAGCTGAGGGCCAGTGCCAGGGAGTGATGACAGGATGAGTGGGAACTACGTTGAGCAGCTGAAGGCAGTGAGGATCGTGGATGCAGGGACAAGAGGAACAAATCAGTCATCAACAAAAGTAGGGCTGGCAGAATGCCTCAAGTGGTACAGTGCCTGCCTAGCAAGAATGAGGCCCTGGGTTCAAGCCCCAGTCTCAGTGAAAAAAATAAATACTTCAGCAATAATCACAGCTGAGGAGGGAAATGGCCTCTTGTGGGGTAGCCCAAATCCCTTGGTGATTTCTAAGGCTGGGCATCCTGTCACTGGTCATTGGCCCATTAAGCTTCTTTATGGTTGAAACACCAGTTCTTTGTCATCTCATGGGACTGGCTGCTCTGTACTTTGACGGTGACGTTTAGATCCATTTATACATTCCACACTCCAATCCTCTGCTATCGAGTGGATATTAGACAGCTTCTGGTCTTAATACACTGAGCCAAAGCCTAAGACCTCAGTTCCGTGAACCATACCTCCTCTCTGTAAAGACAGGACAGCTACAGACCCCACCTGGAGGGGCTGGTGTGAGGGCTAAAAGGAGTCATTGAGATTCTGGGGTGTCGAGGGCATAGTTCAGCTGCCCTCATGACCACCTGAAGGTCACTTGCTTCCTTAAAGAAACAGATATTAATTAACTAGACCACCTGAAGGTCACTTGCTTCCTTAAAGAAACAGATATTAATTAACTAGACCACCTGCAAGGTCATTTGTTTCCTTAAAGAAATAGATGTTAATTAACTAACACATATATTAGACATATATATATGTCTAAGTTCTTATTAAATCTTATAACTTATTTGTATGTGTCTTGAACTTTTATTTATTTTTTTGGTAGGAGTGGGGTTTGAACTCAGGGATTTGCGTGTGCAAAGCAGGCACTACCAGTTGATGGGGTCTTGAGAACTTTTGCCTAGGCTGGCCTCAAACCGTGATCCTCCCAATTTCAGCCTCCCAAGTAGCTAGGATTACAGGTGTGAGACAGCGATGCCTGGCCTTAGACTTTGTTGTTGCAGTGAGGTGTCTGTTGTCAAGTTGGTCATTGCTGGTGGGTAAGATAGCCATATGCATTGAGGTAAGCATATATGTAAATGCAGTTTATTGAATTATTTGTTCAAATAGTGTTTCAACTGATCATCTTGAATTTGAAGGTAAATATACTGTTCCTAATTTTTATTGAACAAATATTGGCTGGACACCTGCCACAGGTCAGGCATGGTTCTGAATGCTCATATACATCGGAGAACCTAAAAGACACACATCATTGTCCTTCTGGGCTTACCCAGGGTGGAGGGGAGACCAGGCAACAGACATGGTGTTGTCTTCTCCCTTCAGTATTTTGAAGTTTCCTTTCTCCTTCCTGTCTTTGGCATTGCACAAGACAATTGCACTGGGCAGCAAGCCAGGTGGGTGGCATGCTTACTGCACTTCCACTGCTGGTGTCCACAGCAAGGTGTGGCGGAGACCGCACCTCTAGCTGGTGCCCTGTGACAAGAGACAAAATTACAAAAATGTAGGGATTTTAGTTGGCTTTATTTTTGATTCTAGAATTGGATTGCACTTCATTATAGAGTAAGTGTTCAATGAGCTGAGTGGAGGAGGTGTCTGAAAGAGTACCGGACAGCTCACACAACTGCAGGACAGGCAGAGACCTTGAAGAGGAGCCAGGGGCCAGGAGAGCAACACAGTCAGACGGAGACGGCCACTGCATCGCACAGCTGTGAGTGTTAGCACCTTGCACTGCATGGTGCCAGGCTGCAGGTGGTTCCTGAATGTACCCCCCCTTCCCCCCACGGCTGGAAGGGAGGCCTGGGGCTCAGATCTCCATTCTGTGCTCACTGAAGAACAGGGGATTCAGGCAGTGGGAGGGGAGGGGAGGCACGGCATGAAGCATTGGCAAGTGTCCTCTGCAGACTGACCAGTGAACTGGGGACTCCCCTCCCCTCTTTCCAGCTTGCTAAGTTTGGTCTTGGTGTGCATGTGTGTTTATGTTGTGAATGGGTATTGAAGCGGTGTTGCTTTTAATTTTTTTAGTTCTGGGGCTTGAACTCAGGGTCTACACCTTGAGCCATTCCACCAGCCCTTTTCTGTGAAGGGTTCTCGTCAACTATCTGCCTGGGCTGGCTTTGAACCATGATCCTCCTCAATCTCTGCCTCCTGAGTAAGTAGGATTACAGGCGTGAACCACCAGTGCCTGGCCAGTTTTGCTTTGAAAATGATGGTCATTCATGAGGCTGAGGTGGAGTTCAGTGATAGAATACTTGCCTAGGATGTTTCAGGTCCTGGATTTGATTCCCAATGCTACATTAAAAAGGAAGGGACGGAGGGAGGAAGAAAGGAGAAAGGACCAAGAAAGTAAGAAAGATTAAATAGTCTCTTCTTGTAAACTATTTGCCTGGGCTGGCTTTGAACCTCAGTTCTCCTGATCTCTGCCTCCTGAGTAGCGAGGACTACAGGCATGAGCCACGGGCCCTCAGCAAAGCAGCTGTTGTTTCTCTTTGTTTCCCACTCTGTATTTTGCTGGTTCCCACCCCATGTTGTTAGTTCCTTTGATGTCTGCATTTCCTGAAGTCCTGTGTAGTTCTAAAGCATCACAAAAGGCCAAGTTCCACCAGGGAACAGGACAAAACTATTTCACAGGTCCTTAGGATCTTCCATCTGGAGGCACAGAATTTCCACTTGGCTGTTTTTGCAACATTGGCGCTGTTCGTGATGGATGGTTGGGTTCCTTAACTCATGAAGAGCTGCAAAGTAACGATGTTCTCATTATTCTGCTATTCATTTACTAGTTGGATCTACAAACCTATCTAGGAACTGTTACTCAGTGCCTTTTATTCCTAAATTGACTGTAACGTCTTGATTTTTCTGATTTACAAGAGTAAATAGTTTGCGAGACCCTATCTCTTAAAAACATATCACAAAAAAAGGGCTGGTGGCGTTCAAGCCCCAGTATTGCAGAAAAAGAAAAACAAAGAGAAAGAATGATTGTTTTGTTTTGTTTTTCGGGCAGCGGCTTTCCTTTGCAGTACTGGAGTTTGAACTCGGGTCCTCAATTAGTTTTTCTAGACAGGGCCAGAATCTAAGGTGGTTTAGGACAGCAACACTGGCCGTTGCGCTCCCCTAGGTGATGGGCTGCGGTGCAGCTCCGAGGTGGCGTGGGTGCCTCGCCCTGGCTGCATCCCTAGCACTGCAGATGTGAAACACAAGCAGAAACAATCCTCCGCCACAAACTGGGAGTGTACCTGTGCCGGCCTTCACTGTCCCCACTGGTGCCAAGTTGGCTGTTTTTGGGGTTTTCACACCCCATTCCTCTATCCCAAAGCTGTACCCAGAAGAAATCCCAAAGTCCAAGAACACCGGCACCTCCGGGGAACCCTGCCCCAAACCCAGTGCAACAATGAAAGCACAGGGCAACCTGCGGGCTGAGGCGCAGACTCCCTCGGGTGCGGGACGCCTGCGGGCCTCGCCCTGCGTTACTTCTTCAGTGCTGCGAGGCTCCCGCATTCGCCACTGACGCTGCAATGCCGGGTCGGAGTTCAGAAAACAGTGGCTGAGTGCGACCGCGCCGAGGTGGTGAGGGTGGCGGAGGACACCGTGAACTTAAGGACGGGGAGGTTTGCTGCGGGAGCAAAGCTTCTGTAAAGGGCGCCAGCGCCGTGCAGAGGCCGCGGGGACACGGGCGCCCGGGACAAACCGACGCCCGGCTCGCTGCGGCCAGGGCTGCACACCGGCGGTGCGGGGCTCGGGCGAGAGGAAGCACGGAAGACCCGCGGCCGGCGCGGGCTGCGCGCTCCCGCCCGACCCCCCGCGGCCGGCGCGCACGTGCAACTCTGCGGTGCCCAAAGGCGGCCGTCGCGCACCCCGTGCCTCTGTTCCCCCACCCGCTCGAGGAGCAGAGCGAGTCCCGCCCCGCCGCAACAGCAACCGCGCCTGCCGGCGCTCTGCGCGCCCTTTGCCCCAGCGCCTGGCGAAAGTCCCCGGGGCCCAGCCTAGGGGACCCGGGACGCCGCCCCGCGGCCCGCTCACAGCAGAGGCTCCGCCTCCTCGCGGCCTCACCACGGAAGCCCCGCCCACCACAGCTCCTCCGTCCCGAGGCTCCGCCCACCGCGGCACAGATCCCGGGGCCCCGCCCCTCGCACGTACACCCACCCGTACGCACGCGCCGCAGGGCCTGCCCCGCGCACGCGGCGCACGTGCCGCACGCGCCCCGCGTTCCGCGCCCCGTAGGCCCCGCCCCTTGGCCTATGGGAGACGCCGCTGGGCCACGTCGTCCCCGCCCCGCGCCGCCCCGAGCGTCCCCCCGCCCTGCGCCGCCTCGGCTCAGTGTTGCGCGGTCGGCCGCGGCGCGTGCGTTCGTTTGCCTTCTCCGGCCAGGCCTAGCCGCGGTCCGGCGCACACCGCGCCGCCAAGCCGCCCTCTGGCGCCATGTCGCAGAGCGGGGCTCCGGGGCTGCAGGACGAGAACCTGCAGGGTGAGGCCGCGGGGGCGCTGCGGGACCGGCGGGAGGCCGGGCGTCCGGGGAGGCCGTGTCCGTGTCGCGGGTCCCGCCGTCGGAGCTGCCCTGGGCAGCGGGCGGCCCGCTCCGACCGCGCACCTGGATGTTGCCCCGGCCTGGGTCAGGGCCGCGCTGGAATCCCAGCCTAGAGAGAATGCGCCTCGCGGTGGAGCAGGGCTCTTTCCCGGCTGGGTGCGCGGGAACCGGGGGCGCTCCAAGTGGGCTTGACGCTCCTCGGGCTTCGGTCCTTAACGTCCGCGTCCGTAGGGACTCCGGATGAGCACGAGTAGCTTTTGAAAGACGGGGTCCGGGGCCGGAGGTGGGTGCAGCTCCACTGCCCAGTATGGCGGGGACGGCGGTGTTCGAGGTCCAGTTCTGCTAGAGGTGCCTCCCAAGACGGCGTGGCACTGGCTTACAGGTTAAGCAGAGCGCAGGCAGCAGGCAGCAGGCACCCGGCGCCTGGCCACGACGCGCCCAGTGCGCCTGAGCACGCGCCTGCCCTCTGCCCAGCGGGTGCTGGTTCTGGATGGGCAGCGCCAGTGACTTGCTCCGGCACACAGCCACCTCGTGTCTCTGATTTATTATCATCATTGCTTTTTGGCGGTACTGGGTTTGAACTCAGGACCTTGCTAGGCAGGTCTGGGTGCAAAGCCCGGGCAGGCCTCTGCAGCTGAGCCGGCCCAGCCTTGGCGGGGGGGGGGTCACAGGAACCTGGTGACTGTGGATCTTTGTGTTCTCGGAGCAAAATGCGCCTGTAAATGAGCTTTGGACAGTACCTGAAGCCTTGGTGCTGACTTTTCAGCGTTCATTAACATTTTTAAAAAGCTTGTATTAAGACAGATTCAGTGAGCTGCTGATTTTATTTCTCTGAATAAGGTTTTACTAGACAGGACTTAATTAGTAATACATTGTAGAATCTGCATTTTAAGACTTACAGGCATATTAAAAAAAAAAACCCTACAATTCAGGGTGGTTTTTTTTGGGGGGGGGGAAGGCCTGCAACTCTGGGTCCTCCTCGATGCTGGGATTACAGACATGGGCCCGCTCCTGTGGCACTGTATTTCGGGTTTTTCTCTTTAACTTCAAACATTGGCACTTTGTCCTTTGAAATAAGTGGAGGAGTTTTTCTGCCTTTCCTTATAAAATGAGAGCCAAGGGATGTTTTGTAATCTTTGGTGTGAAACCCCCCCTTGTCCAGTCACCAAACCTTGTTTCTAGTGTGTGTTTGACCCGCTCAGATTTAGTCTTCTGAAGGGCTCAGTTAATCTCGTTCTTTGACATATGCACAGAACTGCTGAGTCACTGGCAAGGCAGGCACGTAGGCTGCAGAGTTGGGATTTTTGTTTTTCTGTTTTGCTTATTCTATAAAAAGATGTTTACACACAGTGTGGAAAGTCACGGTAAGGATTTGGGATTTGGGCCGTTCTGGGTCTACGTGCAGTGCAGCAGGGCACTGGCTCCATTGCCTTGTGTGGGAGGGGTCACAGGTCACGTGGGGCCTTGAGCTGCCTATGAAACTGGAATCCGAGCTGGGCTGGGAGCTGAGGCAGCTCTAACCTCTGCCTGTCTGTTCTGTTCCGTTGCTCTTGTTTACCTCTGAGCTAGCTACTGGGGAAGCCTTGGAGATGGAACTGTAAACACTCCACTTGTGACCACGTGGACCAGATGTTTTTCCCCAGGTGTTAACAGCAAAACTGATAGGCTGATTACTAGCAATTGGGCTTTGACCTCAGCACTTGTAAAATGTAGAAGGGCGACAGGGTTTGTGTGATGCAGGAGAGTGGGAACGTGACTTGACTTTCCTGAAGGACCCACTGCAGAACGTGTGAGTGCGTCAGTGCATCACTCTGGGACCAGATGGGACCAGCTTTTAGTGATCTCAGTCCTGCCTCTCAACCGCTCCATCTGCAGCTGGCTGTTACCAAGTGGTTCTCACCATGGGCAGGAGAAAAACATGCAGTTTTAGCGTGTGAAGGGTTTCAGTTAGCTAGATTCTGGCTGAAACCATCTCCCCAGGCTTTTTATTTATTTACTTATTTTTGGTACTTGGTGTTTGAACTCAGGACCTTGTTTGAGCCACACCCCAGCCCTTTTTGCTTTTAGTTATTTGTCATGTAAGGGCTTGGTTTTTTTTTTTTGGCCTGGGGCCAGCCTCATCTTGATCCTCCTACTTTGGCTTAACATGTAGCCAGGACCACAGGCATGCACCTCTGCCCTTGAACCCCTGTGCTGTACAGATAGTCAAAATGAGATCTAGTGATTAAGTGAGAAGTAGGGTGGGCAGCAGTTATGGGAAGTCGGCTACTGAGTAAGTACTAGAGGGGTTTTTGGAGCCCAAATGACCAAGAATGCATCAGACAAAGCCTGGCAAAAGAAAGGTACAGGGCGGTAAGCTCATTCTTAGACACCCACTGGACCTTATGCTGAAATCAGTCATTTGCCGGTCATGTATCTTGTCCTCTTCAGCTAACGTGAGAGGCCTTGTTTCTCAAAGCCCACTTCCAGGGAAGCAGCCTGTGGTGATTTGGGGGGCACTAGGTCCCTCCAGGTTTAGCAACTCCGCTGCCTCATCTCTCAGAGATGTTAACGCCATCTGCCATCCCTCTGCTCTGACATCTGTGCTCCTGTTTTGGAACTGTTTGGATGCCTGCCATTCTGCTGGCAGTCATCCAACCTTGGCTGTCCCATCATCACTTAGAGCAGTGCTGCACGCTTGCCTGCACTACATCAGCACTTTCAGAGTGGAGAATGAGAGTTCAAACCCCACCCAGTGCCACACACACACACACAAAAATCAGAGTGGAGAATGAGGGAGAAAGCACCCCACATGGTTGTCCCTCCACAGCATCCCAAGGGTAGAGCCCCCTCTCATGGGGGACTGCAGCCTGCAGCCACTTGTCAGTGTAGGGGAAGGAAATCTGCACGTTTGCCCTGAGGTATGCAGAGGCAGTGAGGCTAGGGGAACTCCCTGGAGTGTCACTGTAGAGACAGGAAGCGGGAACCACTTTGATTGAGTACCTAGAGGGGCTGGAGATCAGATGGATTATATTTTATTTTTTAATAAAATGAGAGGAAAAACATGAAAACAAATGGATTAAGAATTCAAAAGAGCTGGAGTTGTGGCTCAAGTGGTAGAGGACCTGCCTACAAGCACAAAGTCTTGAGTCCAAACCCTAGCACAGCAAAAAAAAAAAAAAAAAATTTAAAAGTATTGCTGGGTGGGTTGGTGAGCCAGCCTGGGCTACACAGTGAGACCCTGTCTTAAAGAAAAAAAAAAAAAAAAAAAAACCCCAGCAAAAGTGTTGGACTGTAATTGATCTCTGAGGTTGACTTACCAGCTTTCTCTTTGTAATATGTAAATGTCAGCAGCCTATGCTTTCTGTAAATCTCATCTAGATTTAGAGAGGAATGAACATTGACTTGCTGTGTATCTTGTTAGCAATATAAATCATAAATGGGTAAGTGGGATGGAGTTAGGAATGAGGACTTAACCTTGACTCAGAAATACCACCTTTCTTTCTGAGGCCTAAATGTATTAAAGTTTTTTGAAGTAAATTATTTGTGACATCTTTGTAGAGGTTTTCTGAGATTAAGAAACCTCATCTTTCTTGCTTAAGATGAATAAATTGAAGATGTAAGCAGAGTAGCAGCATATACTGTCTTCATTTTCCAGAAAGTACACTTTCCTGTCAGTTGCTGCAGGTTGATGAAAGAGCTCTTGGTCCTCAATAAATCATTCCTTGGGATACAGCTTTTAGATCCAGAACTTTTCACTGCAGCCATCCAGAATGGGGATTTCTTTTTTCTTAAAGATGCATGGGACTCTGAAGTGATTTTTAAAAGCATTGCTATGATTTGGATATGTCCTCTCTAAAATTCAAGTGTTGCCAGTGTGACAGTATTAAGAGGCGAGCTCTGAGGACTGCTCCCTGTGGACTGGGTTGAGCTTTCATGGAGGGTGTTGGGTCCATTTGCCCTTGAACCATGTGAGGAGCAGCAGGAAGACTCACCAGACAGCACACGGTGGAGCCTTGAACTTGGACTTTCCAGTCTCCTCAACTGTGAGCGCTCAGTTTCTCTCCTTTATAAATTACTGCTCTGGAGTACTGAGACAAAGATACAGTTATCCCCCATGTGTTTTGCCCCTTGTGTAATAAACAGACATTGGTCATTGTCCCTAGTTCTGGCCCAGAATTCTAAACCTCTGGGGTTTCTTGTGTGGTAGGGGCTGTCTTGTTATCCATAAAGAGTCCCTCTTTAATTGGAATACATAAGTTTATTCTAATGAGGTGACCTAGTGAGGCCACAGGATAGATCGCCTCAGACTTGGGGCTGGTCACCAGATAGACCTAGTAAGTTATCAGGGCATGGAAACTCAGGGTCACCAGGGAGGTGGGGGAGGCTGTAGGTTTTGAAGCAGAAGTTCATAGAACTTTGGAGTTGAGTGAATCCGTGTGTTAGGGGTCTCCATCATTCCTTGCTATGTGTTGCTTCCATCTGGCTGTTTCTGATTTACACTAGAAACAGAAGTTACAAGTTTTCCTGAGTTCTTTGGGTTTTAGCAAATTACTGGATGTAAGGGAGGTTTGGGAACCTCTAAATATGTAGTTGGCTGGGCAGATTGGTGGATAGACTGGGACTCCCAGTTGGAGCTGGTGTCTGGAGTAGGGCAGTCTTGTGAGACTGAGCCCTTGAATCTTTTGGGTCTGACAGTCATTTCTGGTAGGTAGGTAGTTTCAGAATTGTGTTGAGTTGTAAGGCACCCAGTTGGCATTGGAAAATAAGTTGTTGTAGGAAAACTTATTTGGAGTCAGGAGTGGTGTTGGAAAAAAGACATCCCTCAAACTCCAAGATGTGAGATACCACATCTGGGCAGTACTTATGCCTAGTGAAGTCAATTTAGCTAGGCCCAGAATCTGAATAACAGGAACTGATCCTAGAAAAACGGAAATGCCCAAAGCCGAGGTTGTATGCTGTGCAGGCCAGTGGACCAGAACGGGCTGATTGGCCATGCGTTATCTCCAAGACCAGGGAGGAAGGAGGGCTAGCAGGACTCAGGTGTGAGCTCTAGGACCTCAGAGTTAGGTGTCAGCATCAACACAGGGTACCTGGAATAGTCATGTGGGTGTCCAGAATGGAGTATGTAAATCCCAGAGGCACTGTAGTCTCTGCCGATGTGTGGGCAGTGTGCGTCCTGTGGGTTTGGCTGACCTGAAGCAGTGGGAGAAGCTAACAGGAGAAGCCCGCAAGTTGTATGTAAGCTGTAAACCCACGCTTTTTTCCTCATTCCTGTGACATGCATTCCCTCTTGTTGAGGCCAGGCCTCTTTTCAAGATGGCTATGTGTGGGAAAGCCACACTGCTGCCATTTGCCCTCCACACTGTGAGCTGATGGGTAGGCACTCCACTCCTCCCCTAATTGCACGATGTGGGGTGTGCTGTGTGGTTTAAGGACAGAGAGTAGTTCAGGTTGATTACTATTGTACTTAGTAAAAATCCAGTGACTGCAAAAATAGGTAACTCAGTGTTTCTAATTCATACTTTTTTTTTTTTTGTCATTTGTGGGTCTGCGTTCATTCTCTGTCCTCTGTGTATTACCAGAGATATTTTTTTTCTTTAACAAAGCGTTTTCTATAAACAAATGAACCTATAAAACAAAACAGAAATCACACTGATTCTGTCAAAGTAAGTACTACATGGCTGGAGTCATGGCTCAAGCAGTAGAGCGCCTGCCTTGCAAGTACAAAACCCTACGTTCAGATCCCAGTACCACACAATAAAGCAGGCACCACAGAGCAGAGGGGAAAGCAGAGGCAGTCTGCAGTGAACGCGCCCCGTGTCAGATCCTGAAGTTCACGTTAATCCATGTGGGTTTAGATGGGACAGGCAAGCTGCAGGGACAGTTACAGGCTGATGACGACCAAATACTGGCACAAGTGTGAAGTGGCACTGACTCTTGTTGAGGAGTTGTTTATTGGTGTGTGGAAGGGCAGTGGTGTTTCCTAATGACGTCAAAGTCATTGTGTCTTAACCTGCAAGCCCCTTTAAGGTCTGTAGGAACCAGTGCTCGGCAGCCTCAAGCCGGGAGCAAGCCATGCATTTATCTGTGAAGCAATGGCCACTTTCTGTTGCAGTGCTGGGGATCAAACCCAGGGCCTCATGAATGCTAGACAAGTGCTCTTCCACCAAGCTCCACCCTTAGCCCGTGTCTGCCGTGTGTATTAATGCTGCGCTTCCTTCCAGTAAGATCTGTCCAAGAACTCAAAAGGACTGCTCATTCTGTAAAATTCAACCAGAAATTAACTCTGCTCCGTCCACAGTATCTTAATCTGATTTCTGCTATGAATAAATATAGAAAACAGTCACGTGAATGTTACATAGCTTCAGGGTCACTGTGTGATGCTGGTAAAAGGAAATAGGTTAAGAGTTCAAACCTCTCTTGCCAAGCATAGTGGTACCTGCATATAATCCTAGCACTTAGGCTGAGGAAGAAGAATCAAAGTTAAAGGCCAAGTTAAAAACTTTTTTTGTGTGCAGCTAGGTTTTGAATTCAGGACTTTGTGCTTGTTAGGCAGGTGTTTGCAAAGCAGGTGCTCTACTGCTTGAGCCACATCTCTGTGATGTAACTCCAGAGCACAATAGCTTGCTGTGTTTTTCAAAAGGTTCCCCCCCCCCCCGGTACTGGAGCTTGAACTCAGAACCTCATACTTGCTAGGCAGGGACACTACCACTTGAGCCACCTCACCAGCACTGCTCTGGCTATTTTTGAAGGTGGGGTCTTGTGAACTGTTTGCTTGGATTGGCCTCAAACTGTGATCTGCCCAAAAAGCTAGGACTACACGTGTGAACCACCAGCACCAGCAAGTTGAGATCTTTTAAAGACTTTTTTTTTTTTTTTAAATTCCTTAAGCTTTGTTGACAGTCTTTGTTTTGAGACAGGGTCTCACTATATAGTCCTTGCTAGCCTTGAGTTCTGGATCCCTGAGTGCTGAGATCATAGGCATGCACTATTACATTCCATCGTGGCAGTCTTTTTCTAAAACTTGAGTACAAAAAATAATTGAATGGGTCTGTGATGACGCCACAGATGTATGGGTGTCTGCATTGTAAAGGAGTGGAAGACACAGATGTGTTATTATAGTCCTACAGGCTTGCTTCCTGGGCCTCGGGAGAACAGGCCAGCAACCAGTAATGCCAGTGTTGGAAGTGGGCACAGAGGGCATGTTATAAAGAGGGGTTTGAGGAGGTGTCCATATCGGCTTGCTGCTACTTGGCTAAGATCACGTGTAGGCAATATCTCATCCTGTGCTACCATTGGTGCCTCTTAGGAATGAAAGACTGGGCAGGTTATGTGTGAGGATGAAATTCCAAGTGGGTAAAAAATTTCAACTACCTGGCCTTTTTTTGATTTTCTTCAGGCTCCTGGGTAGAATTGCACTTTATCAATAATGGGAGCAGCAGTAGTGTTCCAGCCTCTGTGTCTATTTATAATGGTGACATGGAAAAAATACTGCTGGATGCACAGCACGAGTCTGGAAGGAGCAGCTCCAAGAGTTCTCACTGTGACAGGTAGGTTTAAATAGGTGCATGTGCTAGTGCGGAGGTCCTCAGTGGTAGCCGTTCATCCCGAGTGCTCATAGCTAACCTTCAGAGCCCACGCTTGGAGGGGATCCTGACAGTCCTCACACAAGGAACTGTGCCCTATGATAGGAGGAAACAACCTGGGGCTCATAGTAAAGCTAGGGAACCCCTGTTGGCTTTGTAAAGTTGCCCCCCAACGTTACAGTGTCATTTAGCCCTTCAGCAGGCTGTCAGAGCTGCAGGTCCTTGTCAGCAGCACTTGGGAGTGAATGAATCCATGGTGCCAGACTGCACTCAGTGATCAAAGGTCAGGAGCTCCTGAGGGCTGTGTCACAGACCGTGCAGCTGGTGGGTGGCAGAGCCAGCCACCCCTGCCTGTCCCTTGCCTCTTCCCTGGAAGAATGGCCAACTGACTCCTGTGGTACTCAGCTGAAAAGGCCCAGGAAGGGGAGCCCTCCATCCTGTCCTTCCTGACCTTTCTGAGGAGATGGCCCCTGCCTTTGGGGTTTCCGTGTCTCGAGACAATGTTAACGTGTTCTGTTTTCCCGTTCTGTCCACTTCATCACCAAGCCCGCCACGCTCACAGACTCCACAGGATACTAACAGGGCTTCTGAGACAGATACGCACAGCATCGCAGAAAAGAACAGCTCTCAGGTAAGTGGAGGAGTGTGCGCAGGGGACAGGCTTGAGGTCTGTATGGTATAGGGACCTTTCACAGCTACTTTAGCAAAGTCTGGCTTTTAGGGTGTCTCTTGCCTTTTAAATAAAACTCTGAGTGCTAACATCTCCAGTACACAGGCTTTACTGCGAGCTGAGTAGATGCTGCATGGAGGGGATGTACGGAGGGAGCCTCCTGCCTTGCCCACCGTCCATGACACAGAACTGTTGTGTCTGCAGCCGGGAGCAGGAGGGAGCCGGTGGCCCTGGGAAGGATGAGGATGGCCTGAGTTGTGCTCCCTTCATGGCTATGGGCTGGTCAGTGAGAGGAGTCAACATCACCATCGTGGTGGTTTGGGACCCTCCTCTGAGCGTGGGGCACTGTGGCCATGAATCTGGGTGTCTTCTTTAGACACAGATAGCCAGAACACACTGCAGCCTTTGCTAGCACGTAGTGCTAACTGGTGTTGGGTGGTTTGGCACTGGCACCTCCTTAGCCTGGTAACTTCTGCACAAGATCATTTCTCTGATGTGAGCTCAACGGATGTCTAACGGGCCTGTCCACTTAGTGTTGAGGTGGACCATATGACTGCAAAGGTGTGAGGGGAGCTGGGGTTCTTTTCCGTTCCACTTCGTAGGACTTTGAGGCTGTGATGAGTCACATCTGGTAACGCCCCGTGCCTGTGTGTTAGGTGTGGTGTCTATTCTCATGGGTGTTTGACACTGGTGGGACCGTAATAGTTGAATTTCTTCCTTAGTCACTTGCACAGCCATCTTAGGGGAGGCAGGCTCACAGCGTTAGTCCTGCGGACGCAGGGTCCTGTTCCACCTTTCTCAGAGACACCTTTCTGGCCCATCACAACTCTGAGGCTTGGAGTTGAGCGGGGATTTTGGAAGCCAGTCAGACCCTGGCTGTATACCCCCGGACAGGTGGAGTCCATGTCCAGCTTGCATCCATGTTTGATGGGCTCTCACCCCCCCACACACAAATTTTAAAAGGAACTGTATGCTCAGGTCTGGAATTTAAAAAATGCAGAAAAACAGAGAAAAATACCTATAATCCCATATATTAAGCTCCATTTTGCTTAGTGTTTTACACTTAAATTTTAAAATGTAGCTGAAATCATGGTTTTATATGAATTTCTGCCTTTTCCCTCCTTAACTCAAAAGCTGTTAAACTTGCTTATAGTATAGTATTCCATTGATTTAACCATCCCTGTTTTGAGCTATTTTGATTTTCATAACCAGTGCTGCCATCACCATCTTTGTCCTCATGTCACACTTCGTTAGGGCAGTGTTTGTAGCTCTTAACATTCACAGTTGAGCCCAGTGTCTTAACAGACTGGTAGGACACCCATTCTGTCCTTAGAGGAGCAGAGTGTCCAGGGCCATTCGGGTGGAATCCAGTCTGTGGCTGTGCCTGCACTGAATGCTGCTGTCTGGGCTCTGTGACCTTGAGCTTTCTGGTGTGAGTGTGGCAGACTAACCTGTTTCAATATTTCCTGTGTCTCAGTCTGAGGAAGATTATATTGAGAGAAGGAAAGAAGTCGAAAACATCTTGAAGAAAAACTCAGATTGGATATGGGATTGGTCCAGTCGACCAGAGAATAACCCCCCCAAGTAAGTCTCTCTCCAGGGACACGGGGTCTTTCCTTGCCTGGACATATGGACAGACGTGTTTCTTCCCACTCCAGGGAGTTCCTCTTTAAACACCCGAAGCGCACGGCTACTCTCAGCATGAGAAACACGAGCGTTATGAAGAAAGGGGGCATTTTCTCAGCAGAATTTCTAAAGGTTTTCCTTCCGTCTCTGCTGCTCTCTCATCTGCTGGCCATTGGATTGGGGTGAGTGACGTTACTGGGTGACTCCTGGCATGATGACTCCTGTCTCGCACCTTTACCCATGTTGCTAAGTGCAGTGAGACCGGCCTTGTTCCTGTGCGGTGAGAACTTAGGGAACACACTGCGTCATTCCGTGTAGTGCATGGATGGGTCGTGACTTGCACACCTCCTGATGGACAGGATTGTGCTGTTTAACGGAGCAAACAGGTCTCCAGTTTCCTGCTTCTTTTCCTAAACAACTGCAGAAAACATAGTGAGAGGCTAGGTGAACACAGCTATGCTTTACAGCCCTGAAACACTGAAGAGCCAGAGCAGGAAGTGAAGGGAAGCCAGAGCTACCATTCCTTAGGTCTGGCCCTGTCCTGATTCGCCAGATCCCCTGTTCAGTGTTCTGTGGAGGCAGCTGATTGGACTGGCAGGGATGTCAGTGTGGCTTGCTTTGGCTTAGGTTGTCAGGGACACATTGGTGCCCAGGGGACAGGATGAAAAAGGCCCCACAGCATGGTCGCCCCTTTCCCCTCAGAATCTATTCATGTGGCCCATGGGACCTGGTCCGTTGCATGTCTTGGGCCCATGGGAGTGCGTGGATCTCGGGTTCCATGCCATCTTCCTTATCTAACTTCTGAACCCCCAGACCCACAGTTCCATCTGCCTGTGGAAATGGCTCCCTGGGTGGGCCAAAGGCTCCTCAAAGTCACCTTGTCTAAGATGAAACTTGTAACTCAGATGGCTCTCTGGAGCCCTGTGTTTACTTGTCTCCTGGCCCTTTGTCTTATGGGTGGCTCCACCCCATCACTGTCATTTGGCTGGTGTGTTTGGGATCCATCTCACTCAGGATTGGTTAGGTAGGGATTCTGGAGCTTTCCCCAGAGCTAGTGAGCAGACTGTAGGCAGGGCCTGACAATCTGCATTTCAGATATTCAAGTCATCCTTTTAGGATGGATCTCTGCAGCCAGCGCCCAGCCACTGTCCCTGTCCTCTGTCTTTGTAGTTTTTCAGAACCTGATGGTGTCATCCCTACCCAAAGGCCCTCAGCACCTTCCCACTCATGTCAAGATAAAAGCCACCATCTTTAACTGGTCTCAGATAGCTAGCTTATAGACTGCAGTCTCATCTCTTGACACCCCTTGCAAACCTGGAAGAGGACTCCCTGGTCCCTAGGTGGCACCTGCTGACTTCCTATGGGCTAGTGACACTAGCCTGCCCAGTGGGTGCTTTTTCCAGCACCTTGTGATGTATTTAAAAATAGTAAAGGAAGCCAGAAGTTGTTTGTGTAGGAGGAGCTTTCCTGTTGATTAGTACCCTACTTTGATTTTTTTCTTTTGAGGGGCTGGGATTCAACCTGTAGCCTTACATGTTAGATAAGCACTCCTCCACTGAGCCACACCCAAGGTAGTGTCCCTTTTTCTTTAACACTTACTGTTAACACAGAATTGGATGTTTTAAAAAAATAGACGCAGACTGAAGGTGTGGCTAAAGCAATAGAGTGCCTCCTTTGCAGACTCTGTCCTGAGTTCAAACCCTAATTACACAAAAAAAATGAGAGTAATACAAAATACATATTGATGTATTAGTAAAGCATGCATGTGATAAAGACTAGACGGTCACTGCAAAACATTTTACAGTAGGTCAGAGCTGGCCAGCCATCTCCGGTGAACTGCCTGAGGATTGTGCCACCTCACTAACTGCCAGTCACTTTCTGTTTAGGATCTACATTGGAAGGCGCCTGACAGCCTCCACCAGCACCTTCTGATGAAGCGTCTGACCTTGCTCCCAGTGCGGGTTCCTGCTGAGCTGTGACAGTCAGCTGAAGAGCTGTTGTGATCCTGGGTGGCTGCAGCACCTGTGTCTGTTCCTTCTTAAGTGCGGCAGAATAGACACAGATTGTGGTGACTGTAATGCCTTTGGGATCGATGAATAAGCATGTTAGACTGAGGCCTCTGGTAAACGTTTGGATATTAGATACAAATAGTGCAAATAATTTTAATATACTAGTTACGATGTATGTAGTATTTAAAAATTATCAGTAACCTTAATTCAGTTAAAACACTTTATATTTCAAAAGAATGAGTAACATTGACAGTAAGCTCACTACATTGGAGGGGGTTTGTTCAGAAGGAATACTGTGGCCTTATCACACTATTGTAGAAAATACTGTGTTTAATTTAAATGAATGCAGGTTGTCTATAAAGACCACTTAACCTTGTGAATTGTTTGTTCTTAAGTAGCAAATGGAAACCAAGGCCGCTCTGCAGACTGCTGCCTCTACCTGCACTAGCGCTGCTTCTGCAGTGAGAACTGCAGCCTCTGACTGTCAGGCCACCTCGGCCTCAGATTCTGTGGGGCACCTCTGTGGTCTTTCCTCTAGGATTGCTAGATTAACCAATCATGTGTGCTCTTAAAATCAACTTTATTGTAAGCACATCTGTGTCTACTTTAAAAGACGGGAAGGGGTAAGAAGTAAATCTTTGCCAAATCCTTTGGAGATTGTTGAATTTACATGAGTTAAAATCATAAAGGCTTCTATTAAACCAGGCCTATTGTTGATTATCTCGTTTTTTTCTACATCCCAAGTTTTTCAGAGGCTGCCTCTTTGATATGCTGTATATATCTTGTGTCATCTTTCAGGTGTTGAAATAAATGTATCATTTTACTGTTGAAATGTTGATATTGAAATGTTCATACTGAGACATTAACCTGGAAGCAGCTTGTAGCCCTTTTCTATGGAGAAAGCTGGTGAACAGCTGGTGGAATGGATTCCTTATGCAATTTAGCCTCAAGACTGAGGCCAGGCCAGCCCAGCGCTGTTGCTCACACCTGTAATCCTAGCTACTTAGGAGGCAGAGATCAGGAGGCTCAAGGTTCATAGCCAGCCTGGGAAAATAGTTCACGGACCCTATCTTGAAAAAACCAACACAAAGAAGGTCTGGTGGAGTGGCTCAAGGTGAAGGGCCCGAGTTCAAGCTCCAGTATCACACACACAAAAAGAAAAAAAAAAAAAGTCTGGGGCCAGATTGCGTCACACTGCACAAGTGAATTTCCTTCTGTTTTAGAGCAAACTTGTCTTGCACCAAAAGCTTGTTCTGTGGCTATCGTTGGAAGTAGGGATTGGCTCCAGTGGTTCAGCACCTGTCTGGCAGTTCAAGCTCCAGTATCGTCAAAAATTAAAAAGATTTTCAGTGAATCCCATTAGGCAGTTGGGGTGCTTCACAAAGCCAGCACTTGTCCTTTTCACTGATAGCATCAGCTGAGCGCAAGACCACAGGAAGTGCTGCACTGTCACTCAGGGCTTCCTCATGGCCTGACATCACAGACACCTTATTCATTTACAATGAGAAGACAAGCTTGACATTGCATCCATTCACGCATTCTCGCTCTACTGTTTTAACACAAGTGACTGCGCCACTGCTTATCGAATGGCAGTTTATGACGTACTAGACATCATCTAAATAATTCTGACTTCAAATTAACCTCTGGCCACCACTTGTGAGTGGGTTTGCTCTTAGGTTGTAGAAGAGGACACCCAGGTAGACAGGGCTGTAGGCAGTAGCCCTAGAGAGGAAGTGGGCATTGCCTTAGTGGGATACAGGCACTTTCCTTCTAACCTACAGCCCACTTTACTCTGATACAGCTTTCACAAATTTCAAGATACGAGTGCACGAGGACACTCTATTCTGTTGGTGTGTCGAATTCTTTAAAATAACTAAAGTACCCGTGTAAGAGATCGGTTCAGTATGCATGGGAAGTTTGATAAACTGATAGTGATTTCCAGTGTGTGTTTAATTCCAAACGGGTTTGAAAGGGCTTCGTGCTTGCGAGGCGGGTACTCTCTCACTTGAGCCAAACCTCCAGCCCCGGTTTATATAGTAAGTTAAAGCAAGAGGCAAAAAATATCCAAAAAAAAGTTAATGACATTAGGTGCTTGAATTGAGAAACCTGCGGCACTTTTAAGATGGCTGCCAGTTTTTTGACAGTTCTAAGGAGTGACATCCCAGGGTGTCCCTTCCCTGGGATGTCAGACAACCCAGTAAATAGGGTTAAGGAGGAAGTGATGTGGGCTGGTTCCTGTCTCATGGGACAATTGCTCTTGGACTGACTACCAGTCTCCATGCTGGGAGGAAGCAAACTGCCCAGTTGAGGCCCACCTGGAGAAAGTAAGCTGCTAGCCACCCAGCCTCGGTGGTCCATCTGAAAATCTCACCTCGAAGGGCTGCCTCAGTTGATGACACCTAGGTGGGGCTGAGTTGAGCTCTGCTCTAACTGCAGGCTGTTGAAGAAGGTGGTAGTTTAAAATGGAAAGAAATACTCTTTATGCAAAAAGAACTAAAGAAAATACATTATTTCCTCATTCATGCAAGAATGTGAGGGGAGAGGCAGAAACATGAGGTGCTTTGGGAATAGATGCGGTGGCAGTAGGGGCAAATGGAAGGAAGGGGGAGTAGGAGGATTCTTGTATTTCTCCCTTGGAGAACTACAGTACTGCCAAAAGCAATAGGTAGGGAGCCTAACTACATCACAAATGAGTAAAACCACACGAAGGGAGCGGGGAAAATCACTAACCTGAATAATGGAAACTATTCTGACTAGATACTGCAAGGTTAAAGGAGAAAAAAGCACCTCACATACTCTTGCTAGGATTTGTTCCGTACGGGTGTGGGGTGACTGTCCTGAGTCAGCCTGTACACTGATCTGAGCAAATGAAGGATGCAGTGGGTAATGAGAACCTGCTTTTACTGCTGCAGACAAGACTTGGAGGGCAGGCTGTGAGAAGTCAGCTGCAGCAGCTTGAAACGGAGGCACCAGCAGTGCGCTGGTTGAGAGTGGGTGTGGGAGCAGGGTCATCCCAAGCTGTGACACTCCCAAAGCAGAGGGGCCGCCTCATTCCAGGTCCTGGTTTCTACTGTTCTGCAATAGAGACCCATTCCTCGGGAAGGTACCTGACAGGGCAAGATGCACCTGGAACATCCCTGGGGTTAGAAAGCTGTGCTGAAGAAGCGTTAGTTCAGTGACGATGCGGGCGTCACATACATCCTCCAGGTTCTAGTGGCCAAAACTGGGACAGTTTTGGAGGAGCAAGGTTAGGATGTGATGCTTTCTAGCCACAGAATAAAACAGACAACCCTCAAGTCCCAGGGGTTGTGGCTCACATCTGTAATCCTTGCTACCTGGAAGACAGAGGTTTTGAGGCCTGCCAGGCAAAAAGCAAGACCCCCATGTCAACCAGTAGCTGGGCACCTGACATCCCAGCTATGTGGAAGGCCTTAGGTGGGAGGACCGTGGTCGGAGGGCAGCCCCAGGCAAAACCCACAAGACCCTAGTTGAGAAATAAATGAAAAAAGGGCTGGGGGAGTGACTCAAGTGGTAGAGCACCTGCCCAGCCAGTGCAAGGCCCCTGATTTCAAACCCCAGTACTGGCAAAAAAAAAAAAAATACATGGAAGGAGCGGTGGAAATCCCCACTAGGCAAACCACAAAAACTGTTGACTTGGTGAGTGCTGGTGGCTCACGGTATAATCCCAGCTACCCAGGAGGCAGAGGTCAGGAGGATTGAGGTTCAAAGCCAGCCCAGGCAAATATGTAGGCCCTGAGTTCAAACCCCAGTAGCACACAAAACAAAACCACACACAGAAACTGCTGGCTTGTCAGTTCGTTCGCATATGAAAGGAAGAAAAAGGGTCACTGACTGTCTTCCTGTGGGTCAGCCTGGTAGTCAGCACCTACTCCTAGGATTCGTAGAGAAAGCCATAGCCGCTCTCCTGTGTTCACCAAATGCATTCAGCACAGTTTAACCACGAGAAAGGATCAGGCGAGTCTAAACTGGGGATTCTACAAAGTAACTGTCGACGCTCGTCAAAAGCCTCAAGGTCATGAAAGAGACTGGAAGACGGACAACTGTAATGTGGATCCTGGACAAGAAAAAGGACACGCAGGGCTGGCGGGGTGGCTCTGGCAGGAAGAGTACCCACCTAGCAAGCGTGTGGCCCTGAGTTCAAACCCTAGTACCATTCCCCACCCCCAAAAGAAGAAAATGAGGTAGAAACTTCTTGCTGCCTCAGAGTATGACTTCAGAAGTAAGATGGTCACCATGAGACCATGTGGCATGAATGAGCCTGTGGGGCCACCTGAGCACACAGGGAGAGCCTCCCACTCACCCCTGTCCTGCAATGAGGTGTTGAAGGCTGGTTTTCGATTCAGTGGGAAATGTTTTAAAAAGATGGAAGAAGGTGTCCAAATACACAGTGCAAATCCAGTTAAACATTTAAAGTTTATTAAATTTTTTCGTCAAAATAGTTGAAACATCCAATCCTGTTTTACTAGAACTGCTTTCTCTTAAGGACGAGGGTTGACTAATGGCCGAACAACTCTGTTCCACATCTCAGATGCTGGGAATATGTCACAACCAAGATACAGTATAAAAGAATTACTCTTAAGTAAAATAAAGGGACTTTTAGGTCCTCAAATTCTAACTCAGAATGAACTAATGTGAGTCATTCTGTTAACATTATTTCAGGCTAATGCCATTTGCCTTACATATATAGCAATAGTAATCAAAATATACCTTAATTCAGCAGTGGCACGTGTGCTTTGGCGCTCCGTCCTCCAGAGTGGCCGGGCTCACGAGTCAAATCCCACGGAAGCAAGCTTTGGTCAAGAGCGCTGGTACACCTCTGTTTTTTGTATTAGGGAATCCTGGCTTCTGATATCAAAGGCATTTTAAAGTAATCCAGCAAGGTACTGGTGGCATCACATAATTAAAATTGTGTAATTCTGCTGACTTGAAATAATGCAGTATTATCTAGCATGCATATAATTTTAGTGATATTTAAAAAGTAGGTTTTTCCCCCAAAGTAGTTTAAAAAAATTTGAAAAGCAAGCCTGTTTTCAGGGGTGCTGCACTGAAGGCCTGCTTTACACCAAGTGTTAATTTCATGGGAGCAACTCTGTTGCTCTTCCTTGTAATTTTCTTTTCAGAGGTGGACTCCGTTAAGGCTTTTCCCAGACCTTACCTGGTGTAGCAGACGGACTGTTTCCACAGAGGGCAAAGGGCAGTTTGGAAGCTAGAATTTGAACCCTCCACATATTCCACCATGCTGCTGAGAGGACAGCCATTTCCACTGTTCCAAAGAATAATTCTGCATAATCTCATTATATTGCAGCAAATAAAGACAGCACTTCTGATTGAGTTTAAAACACTTTGTAGTGTACTGTTTTTATTGAGTGGTCACACTGAAGGTGTGAAGTGGCTACAGGGAGGTAAAGCTGCCTGAGGCTGCTGGGGCGTATCCAAGCATCAGTGCTTAGGTACGCCCACCTCGGCTCCAAGGCCAGAGAGGACACCATGTCCAGGTGAAGGCCCAGGGGTGGCAGAGAAGGGGAAGAGCTGGAGAGAGAGATTTGACAAGACCCTTTCTCTCAGATGTTAGTTTTTGGACTATAAATGGAAAGGAAGGCTCAGACTTAAATAAATACATTTATTTTGAGCAATGGTCTCTACTGAACAATGCCCAGCAATTCTTCAAGTGGGCTTTTCCCTAGAGCAGCACCCACCTCTCCCCGCAGGACCGCAGCCGAGGCCGCCTCTCCCACGTCTGCCAAGCGAAGGGAAGTGCGTCACTGTTCTTAGAGGAGAGGACGATACTGCCTTTCTTCGGAAACGACTACGTATGACAGGGCGTGTTCCCTCAGTTGGCTTTAGTTGACTTTGTCCTGGAATATGTACAAGTTATTTGTGGCAGCTACGGCAATAATGTTGTCCGTGGGGTGCCAGGCTGTGTGCAGGATCTTCTTGTTGAAGTCCAGACTGTCCACACTGATTTCGTCTTTCTTCCTCTTGCCACCTGCACACACCTTCCGGGGCTTTAGGCTGGCTCGGGGCTTGCTGTTCTCTCTTGACGCTTCCAGTGTGACGTCCCTCCGGGAGTTCCTATCAAACATCCTGAAGAAGTTGTTGTAGGACCCCGTCATAATGGCACTGTTCAAAACAGGAGGACAAGCGAGACTGTGAGTGCCTGGTAGCGCAGGCAGAGAACTTCCCTCCCGTGGCGCGCCTGTCAGCGACACGAGGAGCCCAGTCTGTACACTGCTGAGTCACAGTAAGGCATGAGATCAGAAAAGGAATTCAGGGAAGGCTTCCCATTGAACTTTATGTATAACCATGTCAGGATAAAAAAGTAATGGATTCATTCACATTAATGTATTTTTTAAGTGAAAAAAAAATAACCTGTTTGTCTCAGTCATGGACAGGAGCAGTTTACTGTCAAGCTACACCATCTGCATCTTGCCAGTGACTGAGCCAAACTGACCTGCATGTGTTTGTGGACAAGAGACGCTAGTCAATCTGTACCTTCACTTGTACTTAACCAAACAATAGGGGGGTTAGCACATTTGAGAATCAAAGCACACTATATATGTATATACAGACATATCATAATGAAACCCCACTTTGTACAATTAACATACTCTAGCAAAAATAATTTTTTACAAGTCTTTCAGAAAAAAATCTTTTGAATCAAAGACATCAGAAGATGGAAAGCAGCTGGGCACTGGTGGCTCACACCTGTAATCCTAGCTACTTGTGAGGCTGAGATGGGGAGGGCTGCGAGTCAGGGCCAGCCTGGGCAAATAGTTCACAAGACCCCGTCTCCAAAATAACCAGAACAAAATGGACTGGAGGTGTGGCTCAAGTGACAGAGTGCAAAGCCCTGAGTTCACATATCAGTCCCACCAAAACCAAAACAAAACCTGCCACTAAAAACTATGCATGACACAACTTTATTACACTGGTGAAAGCTTACGCAACCTTATTTCAACAGAACTGAAGACAGAAATGGCTGAAAATTCTGCCATGCCTTGACCTATGGCTTTCTAGATGAGAAAGGTGTGCTCCACAACCCCCTCACTTCCCTGGCAAGGTCAAAAGCAGTGTCTTGTCACTATGTGGCAGTCCTCAGCCTTGCAGCTTCTTCCCACTTTGACAGGATTCCCACTTGCTTCGTCACCACATGGTCAGTGGTGGTCTTCACAATGTCTAAGTGGAGACCTTCCAGTCAACATGGGGCTCAGGACTCTTTCCAGTTATCTGTAAATACTTTTGTGCCTGATGGACCTCATCAAAAACTCCACACCAGAAAAGCAGAAAAATTCAAAACAAAAACTGTGCACAGCTATCCTTGTTTACATCAAACTCTGCTGGGTAACATGGCACCAGAGGGCTGGAAACAGGACTGTGCTGCTGTGTGCTCCAGCAGCAGTGGTCTTGAAATGAATGCCCATGACTGGGTGTTCTCCAAATGAGTTTCCACGGAGAATATGGTGGACATGAAAGGGTAAGTAATAAAGGTGTGGCCCATCCATGCTGTTACACCTCAACAGCAACAGCAGCTTAGAACCAACAGAGGTGTTTTGTCCTTTGTGCAGTAACTGCTGCTGCACAGTAACTTTCATACCACTTATTACAACCTTTTAACTGGACAGGCAGTGCCTGCACTGAGGTAGACGTCCCCTGTCCCAGTCAGTCCCGCCCCTGGCAGGAAACAGAGTTGAATATGGAGCAAGAGCTGCATCTGTTTTCCCTGGGTGACTGAGAGTACAGTACAGGTAATGCCACACAGCAGCAGGGCAGCAGGTGAAGGGACAGGGACTGGACTGAAGACCATGCTCCGCTGCTCCGCTTTATCCTACCCCTCAACAGAAGCTGCTGGACGAGAAGATGGAGGTGCATTTGCAAGAGTGAATGAACTCAGCAAACATCCTTTGTAAGCCTTTGGATATTCCTCCGGATGTGTAGCTGAAACCCAGCTTGCAGAATTTCAGCCATGCCCAAAGGTGTAGATGCACTCACAAACACATAAGCATGAAGAAGCCATCACTGAGCAGTTAAATCCCATGATGCTGTCTAGAAAGAAGGCCTCCCACCTTGTCTCCACACAGGCAATCTCATGAAACCAGGTGTACACCATTCCCATGCAATTCAAATATTTTATTTTTAAAATATACATATGCATGTTTTTGGTGGCAAATGGGGATGGAACCTGGGCCCGGTACATGCCAAGCAGGTGCTTTACCACTGAACTTCACCACTAGTCCAAGTACACATTATTAAAAACAAAAAAAGTTGTCTTGCATGTTTTAAGTGTCATAAACATCAAATGGTGTATATTCTTTCTGAAGCTGCTTTGTTTTCTTCTTGTCTGTGAGGTCCACCTCTGTGGAATGTGTCATTCCAATTCTCTGAATTTTAGTACCCTAATTAAGAATACACAATTTACCTGTGTGTTCCCTAGTGATAAGTAAGTGGCTGTTTGTTTTTAGGTGTGTTTATAGGTTTCCTTTTTTTTTTTTTTTGAAAGTTTTAGCAAGCATTTATTTCAGTATAATAGGGTAACACAAAGATGGTGGGGAGTATGGAGGAAGAGAGAAACATTTCCTGCCCCAATGCAGGAAATGGAAGCAAAGACCCCACGTTTTCAGGTTTCTCAACAGTTTTCACAGCTATACGTATAAGAGACTCCCAGCTGGACGCTGACCTCAGAGTCCTCTAGAAGGCAGAGTCAGACCACTGGCCCCCTCTTCCCTGGCATCTTAATATGTGCATTTCCATCTCTGTTAATGGTTTTTGCTCTTTTTATTTATTTCTGTTTATTTTCTTGGTGGGAACAGGGTTTGAACTCAGTGCTTCGCTGTACTGCTGGAACCACACCTCCAAGTCCATTTTGTTCTTGTTATTTTGGAAATGGGGTCTCATGAACTATTTGCCCAGTCTGACCTTGAACTGTGATCCTCCTGATCTCAGCTTCTAAGTAGGTAGGATAATAGGCATGAGCCACTAGTGCCTGGCAAGTTTTGCTGTTTTGAAATAAAGTGAGCAGTATGCCACTTTCTGACTTGAAATTCTTTACATATTCTGGATACATCTGCTTTTGTGGCTGTTATTTTTGCCATTTTATTTTGATGCAAAGAAAAACTTAAATTTTTAATGTAGTTTTTCTTTGGGGTTTGGGCTTTGGAGCCTTGTTTCAGAAGCCCTTCTGCCTGAACTAAAAATGCCTCCTTGGAGTTTGTCTTTGAACACACAGAGCTGCTTTACCATATGGTGTGGGACAGCTCTAGATTTTGGCCTCCAGCACCAACAATCACCTTGGATTAGCCAATGCTGTTCCATGTGGCCATGAGGCACTAGCTTGGCTTACGGTTTCCCAGTCATTCTGCTCACCTGTCTTGAGCACAGACCGTCTCCAGGACCCTGCTCCTGCAGGAGGCACACCCTGCAGAGACTCCTGCTCTCACTCTCCTGTCTCTGGATGGGTAGTCTTTTCCATCTGAGGATTCTTTTATCCTGGGTGCCTTTGTAAATGATCACTTATCTCAACACATATTAAGGCTGATTGTAACATTCCCTCAGCACACTGGAGATAGCCAGAAGCTCACAACACAGTACACTGGCTTATGGCTGTGCTATGGCAGTGTGTGGCTGTGTATGGCAAAGCTCATTCTGAAGCCTAACTCCTAGTGCTGTGCAGTACTGAAGCAGTGGAGCCTCTGACAGGGATTTGGGGCCAAGAGGGATCAAGGTTTCTCTCAGAAGATGGGGTTAGTTCTCTTGAAACTGTTAGATCTGGAGGGTCTGGATTTGTACTGTGAGCACAGGTTGCTACAAATCTCTTGCCTCCTCTCTCCTTATTTGCATGACATTTGTCACCCTTTCTCCTGCAGGCCAAACTGTAGGGCAAATGCACCCCTTTATAAACATTATCCAGCTTTGTTTTGTTACTGAACACAAAACAGACTAAGGCAGGCTTCCACTGTGGCTGTGCAGTGTACTCTCAGCCCAGTGTCCAGTCTCCCCAGCTGCTTTGTAAGACCTTCTCTCTGCTTTTAGTGTCCTGCGGTTCCTTTATGTCCTGGATGTGGACATCTCTGTGCCATTTTGCTGCATATTTCTGTGCTTTCTGAATTTATGCATCAATCAGTCTTTCTTAAGTTGCACAAAATTTGTAGGCATCATCATAGTTAGTGCATACTAACTGTAAAATGAAGGGCTCCCTGTCACATGGGTACCACCTCTCCACAACAGTGAGCTTCTAGACACTTCTTTCCGCTGGGCTGCATGACCTGTGAACTTCCCCATTTCTCACCTCCCTGGGCCTCCTTGCAGATAACTAACTCCAGATCTCTTCAGCTAGAGGGGGATCTGCTGCTGAACCCCACATGGACTTTCATCCTGCAAGTTTTGTTTCCAGATCTGGAAACAAATAGTCTTGTGGTTCCTTTCTTGGGCTTTAATGGTGGAAACACTTCAAGACTTCTTACTCTACATTCTGTAACTTGTAACTTCAACATTTGAATTCTTACAAGTTCTATTGTTTCTGTTTCCCATGGAGGCTTTTTCCTACATGGGCCTGGTAATTTTTTCTTGTGAGCTGTCTTTGCTCTGGGAAGTCCTGAGGCCCGGGGGTTGGAGGTGGTGGTGATCTACCGTGGGAGCAAGAGCCCTGCCTGTTCTCACAGGTTTTGAGAACTGTGAGTTTTCCCACCTCCAGGAACAAGACACAGGTGAAGGCCTGTCTGCTGCTTGCTAAAAGCAGAAGATCCTCTAGATCTGGTGTGTGGTGGCTGTGAGGCCAACCTGTCTGAATGGCCTTTGCCTGGCCTGTGTCATCCCTGGGCACTTGTCCTGGCATGAAGCTTGCTGTGACCTCAGGAATAAGGTCCTTGGCCTCTCTGCAAAACACTCCAGGCCACCATGTTAGTTTGTGAACAGATCCAGAAAGTTTGTCGCTCAGATGCCAGAGCACTGCCTGCATGAAGGCTTTCCATACTGCACGGCTCAGACACACACACCTTGAATTCTTGCGAGGATTGGCTGTGGTGACTCATCTAGACTAGTCACCCTAGTCCAAGGTCTCAGATGGTCTCTGCAGACTGACACTTTCTTCTAAACCTCACGGTCTCAGCTTTAGCCAAGGCCAAGGCAGCTCATGTGTCCAGTGGCCTCTGAGGCCAGCCAGAGCTTTGGATGTCACTTTCTGCTCTGGACTCAACTCCCTCTTCACTTGTGGCCCTTGTGAAAATTCCCCTTGAGTACCTGTGAGCGCACTTATGCATTTCAAGAGATATTACCATAGCCAGCATTTCTAGATGTCTAGAGATTTATTTATGTATGTAGTTATTTTGAGACGTGGTCTTACTATGCAGCCCAGGCTGGGCTAGAATTCATGACCCTCCTGTCTCCATCACCCTAGTGCTAGGATGACAGGTGGGTGCCACCAATGTAGACCTCTAGGTGTTTAGGCTGAAAGGTTTTTCAGAATGTCAAGTCATTTGTGACCACTAGCAGAACTCCTCTGTTTAAACTGTGAGCAAAAATTCTCTATTAAGATAATGTAAGATAATCTCTTTCCATCACCTAAAAATATGAATTTTTTAAATATAATATTAAAGACCTAACTCTCAACAGCACTAGAAATAGTATTATCTTTAAAGAACGAGCACAAAATAAATTAGGGAGGGCCTAAAAGCACCACAGTATGCAGTGAATCAGGTCTTTAGAGGGGTTTGAAAAGCACCTCTCCAAACAGAGGCAAACTGAAACATGGCTGTGCCAGCCAGCAAGTGACCTCTTCAGTTCCTTCCTTTGCACTCACCTTGGGCGTGACTTAAAAAAACATCAAGAATCTTTCATTCCCTGAGAAGTCTACACGCACCTGATGCTATGCTTCTGCCTAATGCAGATGTACTGTCAGCAAGGTGAGAAATCTGCTCAGAGACCCACTTTCTCCCCTTGGTACCATCAAACAAATGAAAGGCCTAGAGAGCATGAGCATATCGGCATTTCCTCTGCAGCTCCAGACTGCAGCACTCTCCCTAGTGGCCTTGCTAGAGACCGAGCTTTGGATGATGCATGCTGTGACACGGCAGGCTCACCTGTCTGGACCATTCCAGCAGCACTCGAACTTGTCAAAGATGCAGTCATTCTCATACAGAGAACACAGCTTGCTTCGCAGGTACTCGTGCACCTGGTGGGTCTCGACAGGCCTGCTCTCCATATTAAGGTCCCACACCTTCACCGACAGGTAGTCTCTGGTCATCATGTACCGGCCACTATGGCTGAATTTGACATCGGATATGGATGAAATTATTTCTGAGAAGAAGGACCTACTGCTGGGGTCTTCAGGCTCTTCAAAAACTGAAAAACAAAGTAAATACTTCCAGCTTCTGTTTTGAGTCAACACAAATCATTTTCAGACTCCGGGAGGACATGGCACCTTCACTGAGACTCTGGAGGGCTCAGCCTTGATGCGGCTGAGTTCTCTTACATCCTGGGCTTCTGTTTCATTTTCTACTTCCACAGGCTAGAGCTGCAGAACACTCATTCCACCACCAGTACAGACAAGGGATAGACGTCAGAAGCGCAGACACCCAAATCCCATGCAGTTCTGAACTAGAACGTCATGGGCAAGGCCTCTAGTCATCCTGACTTAGGTGAGTCTGGGTTCAGGACCTTGCATGAGCCTGGAACTGTAACCACAGAGGCCTTTGTTCTCCTGGCCCCAGGTTGGAGACACAGACATGATGTCCTGCCCCATCTGTGCCCATCAAAGGAAGAGGCGTGATAAGGGAGGCACAGCACTCTGGGCCTCTCAGGGAGAGCCTGCTGTCTGGAGTGTCAACCATTTAGCTGGTAACACAGTTACCAACCACAGTGGCTCCATGGGTCACAGCCAGTCAGCAAAGGGGGTTTGCTTCCATACTGAATGGTCATGTTCTACTGTGGCGTAAAGGAAAGACTCACTGCTCCTCAGTGGAACTTGCCTTCTCTGGCAGCCTGAATGTTCCCTTTGCTGTGCCCGCTGGACACCTCTCAACACGATGGTCACACCTATGCCACAGGACACGTTAGGTGAACATGTGTGTTTTTTTTTCCTTTCAACTACTTTAAGGCAGGCACTGTGGCTCATGCCTGTTATCCTAGCTAACTGGGAGGTGGAGATGGGGAGGATCGCACTTTGAGGCCAGCCTGGGCAAACAGTTTGTGAGATCCCATTTCCAAAATAACTAGAGCAAAAGGACTAGAAGTTTGGCTCAACTGGTACAGTGCCTGCTTTGCAAGTATGAAGCCCTGAGTTCAAACCCCAATCCCACCAAAAACAAAAATAAGAAAGCTCCCTTAGCTTTCCCTCACTTTTTTTACTATGGGAGACGGTGACCTTTGCTGGCCCTACACGGGGCACTAACTTGAAGCCATCTTGTGCCACTACCAAGCACTTACTCAACGAATTACTGTCCTTGGCATCTAAGACTGTATACTGAAAAGTGTTATCTGTCATTATCTGGAAGACACTGCTTCTTCACTTCAGGAACTCTAATACGAGCACAGAATTCTCAGAATCATGCTTGAGCCTCCAGGAAGGAAGACAGACAGCTGCTGAGAACTCTTGTGAGCTCGCGTCATCAGTACTGCTGGTGCTGACACCAACAGTGGTGACACTTGAGAGGCACTGACCAACCACTTCATGTCAGCAAAGATACCTTGGGCCGTGAAGGCTGTCACACTCCCTGGCAGGGTTCTCATGCCTGTCACTGCAGAGGTCAGCGAGCTTTCCAGGAAGCATGTCCTGAAACACCACATCACACAGACTATGGTTCTCTACAAAGTTAAGAGTTTTTTCGGGTTTGGTTTTACTTTGTTTTCTCAGACAAGGTCTTGAACTCCTAAGCTCAAGTGATCCTCCTCATCAGGCATACGGCACTGTATTCAGCAGGCTATTCTTTATGGCTAAAGACTTCCTCATCTACAAGGAACTTCAAGGCTGTGATTAAAATGCCAGGGAACTGATTTCAAATCCAGCAAAGCTCACCATAAGCAGTGCCCCTCAGCTGACAGTGGTCACCGCGGCCACAATAGTGCTCTGTCACCTGACTGAAGTGCTCCAGGGAGAGAGATAAACAACTAGTGCCTGAAGCACTCTCTGACAACAGCCAGTCCTAGTCGGTCACGGTGAGAAGCAGCTGTGGAGCCCCTTTTCTCCCTGTGCCCCGGTGTGGGGGGCAGTCTCTGGAAAGCAAAGGGACTCACAGGCCACTTACACTTAGAGTGCCTGTCGCACAGGGCTGAGGAGCGCATGTCACACAGTCGGATGGTCCCTTTGCTGCTGCTGTAGACAAGCACATTGCACTGGTGTGGGTGGAACTCAGCGGCCGTGATGACTTCCGTCAGCTCCTCCATGTTGGCAGGCTTGATATCCACGATATCTGGAGTGCAGGGTTAAGGCACAGTGCACGGCTGAGTGGCCAGCTACTGAGTCAAGGCAAGGGAGCCTCAGACAACTGCACAGTAAGGCTTAATAGAGATGTCAGGTGGAGGACACACACACACACACACACACACACACACACAGTGCAACAAAACAACACACAGTAAAGTGGTCCTGAGTCAGACCAGGTTTGCGCCTGCTTGAGGCCCAACAGAGACACAAGCCCTGCTTTCACCATGCAGCTACTCCCACTATCCAATGATACCATCAGTAGGACAGTGCACACTGAGTGACATACGCAAGAAAGGCAAGCAAAGCACCACCCATGTAAAGCCCTCCACCCCTCTCCACAGTGGTGCCACACAAGAGCACTGCTAGCTTTGCCTTCTTAATTGGTTGCAGTGAAGAGCCTGCCCTGAGCTGTCAGACCACCACCAACGTCAGTTGTCAAATACAGGAGTCAGTAAACTGAAAAGCAAGGGCAGAATTCAGCTCTGTGGGGAACAGATTTACCTTCCAGCAGAAAAAGCCAAGGCAACTTGCTGCTACAGGGAGGGGCAGAGACCTGAGAGCTGGGGATATGCACTGCATGTCTCCAGCTGCCTCATGTCAGGCTGGCAACTGCACAAGCTGCAGCAGGGGAGGGGACCAGGCAGAAAGCTGTTTTTGCTTGGGTTCACAGGGTGGAGTACCAGAGAAGCTTTCTGGAGCCAGGACACTGGAGACCTCCCAAGAGGATGCTGGTAGAGAACTGAGCAGCCCCCGGGACTGGGGGAGAACCACTGTGACTGGCTGGGCCAATAATACCCTGTGCTACCATCAGAGTCCAGATGTGTAGCCAAGCAGGGACTCTGGGGGCCAAGAGGCATGAGGCAGATGCAGGGTATGTTATTACAGGAACCCAAGGTAAAGCAGTGGCTGAGCCATGGAACACACACAATTCTCACTTGTAATTCAATTACGTATTTGCAAGTTTAGAAGAAAAAACACATATTGATTTCTCAAACATCTCCTACTTAAAACTGCCTCTGACTGAATCACGTGAGCCAGGGGCAAAGAACTTTCTCCAAGGTTAAAGACGTTTGTAGTATCAGGGACACTAATTCATGGAGACCTTAAGTCATGCACCACTAGAGAGTAAACTGTATGCAAAAGGTCAGACCAGGAGGTACGTGACTTAAATACCCGTGAGGAATAACTGAACAAGAACTGAAAAAAGCGCAGAGGCCATCTGGTGAAGGATACTAAAACTTCTATCCGTGATCTCTAAATGCCATAGGTTAATTCTCAGGTCATCTGCAGAAAGATATGTTTCATGATCACTATTTACTGAAATGGAATTGATATGATACGTGTGAGCATTTGCAAAAATTCGTCGTGGACTTGCTTCTACCATAAGGTCCATGGGCTTCAATACTGGAACCTAAAAATGGAAGGAAATAGTAATTCAACAGAAGGTCACAGCAGTGTAAGATCAAAGCACACAGAGCAGATAGCAAACAGAGGCAAATGCTAAGTTTTTTGCAGGCAACACCCCAGGCAATCAATTAGCAGAGCTGAGACAATAGGTACAGAATGGAATGCTGCTCCTTGTGGAGGTTACATGTTCTTGATGAATAAAGGAAGAAAGTCTGCCCCTAACTAATGGCCTCCAGGGCACTGAGACTTCATTCTTCTGTGTGTCCCCTGGTGGCCATGACCAAGAAGTGGACAGCAACACCTTGGAAGGTGCACCAAGACACCCTAGTCCCTGTAGCCGGGTGTACAGGCCATCACTGCACTTGTGGTCTGTTTTCAGAGACCACATGGCTGTGATGACAGTGTGTTTGTGTGTGTGTGTGTGTGTGTGTGTGCGCACGCGCGCTAGGGACAGACAGCCAGCACAGGAAGGCCCCAGGGAGCCAAGGACGCCCCACTTTTTGACCTGGAGTTGGCTACATAGGTGTGTTCCATCTGACATTTTGTTGGAGATGGCCATTTACCTAGTAGCGGCACTTCTAGGATGTATAATGTAGTTCATTATGGGTATTAAAACAATGACAAAAACACCCTTCCCAATCTCTGTGCCAAGGGTGGGGAGGCTTCCGAGGAATGGGCTGCAATGCTGAAAGGGAAGATAGTAAGGGAGGCACCCTAGTCAGCACACCCTTTCCCAAGACAGAGGCAAGGGTCGGTCACAAGGGACAGTGTCCACATGAGGAGAAAAGGCCATGCCTCACTAACATCTGGATAGAAGGGAAGCACTGGCTTTAAGTCAAAGCAAAGCACTAATTTTTTGTTATTTTTTATCAGAGCAGAAGAGAGCCTTGAAGGCTATGGAGAATCTCAATGTAAGTCTCCTTTGGCCAAATTCTGAAAAATAACCTGGCAAAGTGTGTGCTGAGATGCTGCCCTCATTTTAATCCAGTCAGGGCTGACCAGGCCCTGGGGTTACCTAGAATGAGAAGTGCTAGTTTCACAACCAGCAGGATTAATTTTTTTGGCAGCACTGGGGTTTGAACTCAGGAGTGCTTGCTAGGCAGGCACTCTTACCACTTGAGCCACTCAGCCAGGTATAAGCAGGATTAACAACAATACACTGCTCTGATTCCAAACATGCCTTTAACTAACCAAAGCATGTGACAACTATAATACTCCTAATAGAAGGAGTCTTTAATTAACCCTCTTTTCCAGCACTAAAGTAATTTAAGAGAAAAAAAAATTAAAAACAGCAACATTTCTCACTCTTCCCCAGGTAGGTCAGACAAATTAGTAGTGAGTGCACTCTGAACTCTGGGAGAGGTGGAATTCAAATAAGAAACTAAGTCCACATACAGAGACACCTGGCCTATGATGCTGTACCCTCACGCTAAGGTCACTACAAAAACTACACTTCTTATATACATCAGTTTGGCCACCAGTTAGATTGGCTTAATTTAGGCTAATCCTATTAAATTAAATGATCCTGGGAAGAAAATCAAATGGGGTCTAACAAAACCTATAGTTTTTCAAATTAAGCATGTGTGCTCGTGGGGTGTGCAGGAAGTCTGACTGGGAGGAGCCTGGATTCCTGAGGGGCTGTGCATGTACACAGGAGTAGGGGCGGAGCTGGTGGCAGGCAAGACAGGACTCAATGCAGCCTCCACTACCAAGGTCTCCTCTGCAACATGAGGCTGACAGCATAGCACCAGCAGTTTACATGATGGGAAACCTCAAAACTAAGCATGATTTATACTAATCCACTGATGTAAACACAGCAGCATGGAGTACCAGAAATCGCCAGGGTTTTGGAACACAACATCCTGGTTCTCATGCACTAGATTTGAGCAAATTACACTGCCTTTCTTGCCTCAAGGAAATCACTGGAAATAGGTGGTCAGTCTAAGGGGTCAAAGGAATACTGTCCTTGGATACTCACACCAGCTGAACCACTGCCTATCTACTGAGGATAGGGAAGACCCTCACTGTGCTGTCACTACCCCCGGCACAGATCAAGAGATGCTGGCAGTGAGACTATGTCCACTCTGGTCTGGTGACAGACCCATCTGGGGTGGGTGTGTTGTGTGGGCTTACAGAATCCTAGGTGGAGCAGGTCAGGGAAAGGCTCGGTCATACAGCACCCCTCCCAGCAGCATCCCTCCATCACTGCTTCAAAATGAGCTTGCTAATGAGTCTTCACTACTTTGAACAGTGTAGCCATCTTAAATGTCATTGAAAAATCTACCAATCACCCATTTTCAAAACACTAGCTGACCCACAGGGCTGGGGACTTTCTCTGGGGCACCTGTGCCTGGTGCTGGGGTCCTAGGAGACACTTTGTGTGTCTCACCAGACTTATCTGGGCACAAACCAAGTTTGTTTAACCCCTATGCTACATTTCATCTGAGTGAAGATACCATCAGGTCAATTATAAAACACTGAGATTTTGAGTTTTACCCAATTTCACAGATGCCAAAATGTAAAAAAAATCTAGTTTTTAGAACTGATGAAATATGGATATTTCATACTACACCCCAAAAAAGGAGATAGGTATTTATCAATTAAAGGTACTGGTGCTCAGAGTCTGCCATGGCTTCTGTAGAGGAAATTCCATCAGCACAGCAGTATCTTGCTGGCCCACAGTCCACCTTCCCATCTGTAACCTACACCACTTTCCCAGGAAGTGCTCTGAATTCCACCTGCATTCCAGCCTGCCCTGGTGCTACTCAGAAAGAATCTTGTCATAGAATTAAACACGGGACCGTGTCCCTTAGTTCTGCCATATTCCAGAGGATAATGTGTGATTTTTTTGCCTTGGTTAAAATCTGAGCAATCCCATTTTATTTTTAGCAGTACTGGGATTTGCACTCAAATCCCAGTACTCAAGTGGTATAGCACCTGTTAGGTGCTATACCACTTGAGACATGCCTCCAGCCAGGAGCCCCATTTTAAACACATACACAAAAATGAGTTCTAATATGGATGACTTTCCTGAGTCAAGGCAGAGCCCAGGACATTTCCATTAACATCCTTCTCGGAACAGCTATGGAACACTGTTCTTGATAAATTCCTGAAGAGTGCTGGGAAGGTTAAAGAAAATGCAGTATACCCGTAGTGCTGTAATTCTAAACGGGTCTCGAAGTCGTCCGTCTTCATCTTTCAAGTTATAACCTTCTGCTCTTTTATCCCGTTCACTTATTTTCCATAATTTAATAGTCTTATCTGAAAATAAAAACCTCATTCTTCATATCAAAAGAAAAACCATCAATCACATGCATCACTATTATTTGAGTACTGTACTAGAAAACTCTAACTGACTCTGTGTTGGTGTCTAAGCTGGGGGTGTTTGAACACGCGTATTTTCAACTGCAGAGGAACAGTTCTGTATAGTAAATGAAGACAGAGACACATGCACAGAAGAGTAACATAATACTAGGGGATTTTGCATACTTTGAATTAAAAACCTATCACTTTTCACCCTAGCTGATAATTTACCCTGCTCAAAGTTTAAAGCAGAAATTTCTAGAATTACTTAAAATAATCTGTGCAAACAGAAAATTCTAGATAAAATATAAACCAAATAGCCACTTAAAAAAAAAAGTTCTTACCATTTGTAGAAAGTAGAAAATGAGCAGCATTCTGTTGTGGTAACCACCTAATTTTATTAATTTTTTCCTCAATTTCCAGACTTTTCAAATAGTCAAATTCTGGTTCATGACTTTGAAAGGTACTGTAAACATTATATTCTCCCTTAGAATGAGGGCGGCTTTTATTCTGCAAGGAAACATGACAGCTGCTATAATGAATAAAGCATAATGCAGAGAAAGTTTTAGTATACCAACTTGAATAACAAAAAGTTAAAAGATCCTGCCTCAAAATACCGCAAACAGATGAAAGTCAGATATAACGTACTTGGAACAAATACAGCATTTTTCACTCCTGTACCCCAGCTCCGGGAGTCTACCAGGAGTCTATTTGGCAGGGTCTGCCCAAGGTGGCTGCTACATAGAATTGGCTTTGCCAGAACATGGTTGGGCTTGCTGTGGATGTGTCTTGCTGACTGCTTCTGCCATAAGCAGTGACAGAGGCTTGGCTCTCTGAAGGAGGTGTGGGGCCTGCAGAGGCACCAGGCTGTTGACCTGGGCTCGCTGAAGGACAGCCAGCTGAGCCAGCTCACAGGAAGATGGATGCAGTGCCAGCCTCTGTGGCAGGGCAGAGCCATGCATGCAAACCATGCAGCAGCTAAATACAGGGACCCATGCAGACAGATCCTATGAGTCCTTTAAGTACCAGAAGAAACTGCAAAAAAATACCCATGGTAAGTGCTGCTCATGTACATTTTTAACACACACAAAAACTCAATTCTGTAAGTTACAGAAAAGAAGAAAAACACACTTGGGAAAATGTAACTATCTTCAAAGTAATGGCAATGCTGGGAGGGTCAGGGGCAATCAAGTGAGAGGACAGAAAGGTGAAAGAAAGAAGTGGTGTACGGAGGGGTCCTCTGCATCCCAACGGTTTCCTTTCTTTTACTCTTTGATTCTTGCTCTATAATCAATGTCTAAAAGGTTACATGGGGCAGACAGTGGCTCAAGTGGTGGAGTATCTGCCTAGCAAGCATGAAGCCATGAGCTGAAACTCTACTGTACTGCCAAAAAAATAAATAGAAATAAAAACCTTAAATGTATATGGTATTACCTTAGCATGTCTGCCAACGGAATTGAACTGAACGAATCTTCATGCCTGGACAGGAGCTTCTTTATGTTTCTGAATTGGGAGCAAATACTCTAAGAAGACATCCCAAAAGACTAGCTGAGACTCTTCACTACACCCATTTCTACATTCTGCACAGCCCTCAAGTCCAGTGCTCACCAGCAAAAGATGGGAATCCTTGTGCCATGTGGTTTTCCTGTGTGCTATGTTATGGGGTTAATGCTCTTTAAATACTCTCCCTGCGCCTCTCCACACACACAATAAAGTCACTCTTGACTCCAAACAACTGACTGCCAAGATGTCCCACAGCTGACAGCTGAGACATCAGTTCTGGGACTGTCTCTTCACACCATGACTTAGCTCACCCTACTGAGGTGCTCAACACTCTGCAATATGCATTATATTTTAGAACAAGATGTTTGACTTTTATCTTAATTCCTTTTATATTTGAAGCCAATTCTTTCTGGCTCAAGCAATGGTCCACAAAAACAGGGCAACTTCACCTGCTAGCCTACAACCTGTGAGGGGCCAGGGGATGGCCACTTTCCATAGGCATGTCACCATAGTGGCAAACTTCTATAGGGAGTAAAGGTCAAGTCTTGGATCCAAGAGCTTGCTAATGGTTGTGTGCTAAGGCGTATGCTTTAAGTAGTGCTGTGTGATCGTCTCCCTTTGGATAAGAAAAAACTTATCCAAAATTGGGAAGATTTAGAAAGATTAATGAAAAAAACACTTATTTTATTCACAAAAGAATTTCTCACTATCCCAAATCGGGGAAAACAAGACTTAAAAAAAATCTAACACGAACATAATCAAAGTTAAAGCTGCAACAGGCGTCCTTTGATAACGAGACTTATTAGCACCCTGTCCACCTTTCCCAATTAACCAAGCAAGCTTACAGCACACAGGGAGGAGGACCAGGTCCTGCTACAGATCCTCAAAAGCTCTCTTCTACAGCAGTGGGGCCTGTGCAGAATACTTCTGTCTTCTGCAAAGATGACCTATGTGGAACACAGTCCACCAGCCTCTGAACAAAAACCTTACCACAAAAGTTCAGAGACCAGTATTTAGAGATGGAGGAAGAGCAGGACCTATCTTATAATCGGTTAAGGAAAAAGCAAGACCAGTAATTTACAGAGGCCCAGGCTGGTTCCCACTGGCACCCTTGCATAACAGATAGTGACCTATCTTCCTTTATCACCACTAAGAACTCTGAGGCGGCTCACAGCCTGGTCCTATTTGCCATTCTCTTATTTGTGACAAGTGCCCTTGTTCCCCCAAAGAGAAATGTCCTAAAAACCCAGTGTTTAGGAAACAGTTCACCTGTGGCTCCTCCAATTCCCTGTCCTTCTGACAGGAAAGCTTTGGGGGTGGAGGAGTGAGAGCTGCTCATCTCTAGGAATCTGTTAAGCCTGTCTCCCCCGTCCCCCACCCCAACCAGCAGGTGCAGCCCAGCTGCTCAGTACCCTGCAGATGCCAGGGTGTTACACAGATAACCCCTTTAGCTACCTCCAGATGAAAGCACACATATTCCACCTTTCATCTGCTCACTGTTAACCAGTGAGCAGGTCATCACCAACCCCATCCAGATGAAGGCACTGGGTTCTCAGGACAGCTTGCAGTGTGGAGATCTGCTCATTCATCTCTGCAAGAAGCCTCTACGTGGGTAGTGTGACGAGACTCAATGTAAGGGAATGCAGCACTGGAAATAATGCTTCCTTTCCTGCAAGGACACAGGCAGGGCTGGGCGATTCCGTTTGGTGTGTGGACTGCGAATTACTGACCTCTTGCTCCCGCTGAAAAACAACAACTCTGCCGCCCTTGTCTCCTGTGGCAAGAAGGTCTCCAGAGCCGTTAAATTCCACAGTTGAGATGATGTCAGCTGCCAATAAAAGAGCAGAAAGAGCCACAGACAACAATTTCGCGAGAAGTCACAAAAGGAATGTCCGAAATAAAAAGAAAGATGAACACATACAAAACGTTCTCCCCAAATAAAGAAAAAAAAATCATGGCAAACTTGTAAGCTCCAGGTAGCTGCTTCTTGCTTCTTGTCTTTGGGACAGAGAGTCCACCAGCACATGTGGGATTATGAATTTGACTCCACTCATCAATGCCTGGTCCAAGGTATACCAGTATTTATGCATTGGGTTGTCTTGATTTAAGGATATAGGGTAAAATTTAGAAAATTAATTTCTGAGAAAGAGAAAAAAAAAACCTGGTTGGTTTAGAATGTTGTCTAATTTAAAAAAGCACATCTAAGGTCAACTGCAGTACTAAGGACTGAACCCAGGGCCTTGTGAACACCAGGCAAGCACTCTAGCACTGAGCCATAAGCCTAGGCCTATGGTCAACTTTTAAATACATTTGATTTTTATGTAGTAGTGACAGAAATGTCTTCATACTACACAGAAACTCTTGTTGGTTCCGTACAGAGTAGTATTATAGGCAGTACAAGTTCCATTTCATTGTCTAGATAAAGTCAATGACCCATTGACAATGGTGACATTATTATAAAGTGAAATAATTAAAAGATACTTGGGATTTCTGACACAAAGATCTCAGACATGAGTTCACCAGAGGTAAAGAACAAAAATAAGCACTGGAAAAACCCTTCGGTGCCCTAAGGCTATCCACCTCTGCAGTATAGAGGAAATTGATCTGGGTTTATACACAGACTATGAAATAAAAAAAAATACTCCATGTCTGTGCCATGGTAAAAGATGTCATTTTTTTTTGTTTGTTTGTTTTGAGACAGTCTTGGTAGCACAGAAAATCCTTGAACTGTTGCTCCTCCTGTCTTAGCTTGAGTATGGGATTATAGCTGTGTAACACCATGCCCAGCTAAGATGTCATATTTTTAAGAAAAGGACCTACAATAGACTTGGAGGAAGCTGGTGACCTGTAGCTCAGCTGTATCACCTGCTGCCTGAATGAGGATGAGGCCTGGGTGCAGCCCTTCAATGGTCAGTCTGGGCATGTCCCGTGGCCAGGAATGCTCTGTACTTCAGCCAGCAATGCCATGGTGCGGATGGCTGGCTTTCTATGTTCATCCCTCAGCGAGTCACCGATGCCCAGGGTACGCAGAATGACCACTATGCACACTTAAGGCCCACAGTACTGCTAAGTCAGAAGTTTGTAAAGACAAAAACTACTACATGGTATCATAAGTAACTTATCCACTAATAAGTAATGGAGCCAAAGCTGAGAGTTACTTGAAGAACCCGTCACAAATGGCCATATCAGAACGTAATTCTTAAAGGCCTGCACAAACATTCTAATCAAATAGTAGTCAACACAGTTTCCTGTCAACATCTGAAGACCCAGCTGGACTGCATGACTCTGCTCACTGTGTACACCTGCCTCCCCTCAGTCTGCTTTCCTTTAAAGTCTTCAGTTAGACCTGGGACAAGGACTGGGTTACTTCTTATGAGAAGCGCCTTCCTCCCTCCCTGCTCATCCCCCGACTTGTGGTGCTGTAGATGGACTCAAGGGCCTCACCCATGCTAGGTGAGCAACTTTCCACTGAGTGACACCCCCATCCCATCACGCTTAAACTCAAAATAATCTAGTTTGTTTAAATGAAACTAAAATTTTCTGTATTAGATTAAAAGACTAAATCTATGTCATTTATACCCAAAGGACATAAAATATTATAGAATTAATGGTATTCTAGCTGTCAGTGATTTTCAAACTTAATTAGAATTGACTTATCTTTTAAAGTAGAAACTCCTAAGACTGCCAGTGCTGAGGAATGACTTTCATTAAGCCATGTCAATATGTATGGGCCTGTAATGAGAAGCCTAAACAAATACGCGAACTAAATATGAATAAGATCATGAAGCCAATGCAATGGGGATTACCGACACCAGCTTACTCTGATGGGTACTGTTTTTCAAAACTCATGGTGAGCGTATAAACATGAACCTAACAGAATACTGAGTGGTGTTTCAAAGCCGCCATGTTCTCTGAGGTGACCTAACTCTGTCTCCTTTTTTCTACTGGAGTACCCTCCCACAGCACAGCACAGCACCTCCTAGCTGTTCCATGGGGCAATGGGTCTCTGCTCAGTGTTTCTCCACTGTGGCTGCACAAATGGTCTGAGGCTTCTTTGCTACAAGGTGATGGTCTGGCTGATGCAGAAGGTCCTGCTGAACGTCTAGATTACATCAGAACTATGACTGTCCCTGCATGCACCGAGAGATCTCAGATCTGACTGTGGTGGGCTGCATGTGCTCTTGCCCTTCTCACTTCCATCAAGGGGTCAGAAGGAAACCGTAAGGCATCTATGAATGTGAGGCGGCTTCCACAAGCAGGCAGGAAGGGAGAAGTGGGCCTGGACCTTGCAGCCTAAGCGCACTCAGATGCCTAGGTCTCACAGTGCCAGGCTCTATAACAGGCACCAGCCCGGAGATGAAGGAAGTCCACTTACAGAACTGCTGGATATATGAGACCCCACCTTACCCTGGTAGGTGGGAGTATATGATAGTCCCATTTTTTGTTGAGCACATGTTGGCTGCCAATTTCATGTTCCCACCACCCCCAGTATTCCTTCATGAGACACCAAAGGCTGGGAGAAAAGGCCTCACTCCATATACAAGCATTTGAGGTCCTCAAAGACTACCTGCTCAGAAACCTGCCTACTGGCTTTATAGGGGCTCCGCTCAACAAAAAACAACAGCCCAGGATCTACAAACATGTGAGAGAAGTCACTCACACTATGCAGGAAAGAGAGAGGCTCAGGGAGCTCCTCAGCTCCTTAAGAGTGCTCACACTGCCAGTGCTGCCTAAGCCTTCAGGGTAGCACAATCCCTGCTCACCCAAGAGCCTCCTATCAGGCTTGTGCCTGATGGAAGAGGTACAGCAGCAGCTGCCCCTAGGCTTGTCTCAGTCACAAATCCAACAGGGTCCAAGGGAAAGAGATGAGGAAGTGCTATCTAAAATCCAAACAGGAAAAACAGTAAGAGCTGCAGACCTCTTCTAACATGCAGAGAGAAGGAAGAGACAGTCAAAGGATAGGTTTCAGTGGCCCCTCACCGAGTCACATCTTCTAGGAAGTCAACAGAAAAAGAGAAAGGAAACTTGCAAAGGGCTGCAACCAGAGTGTCCTGGAGCATCCAGGGGTCCCCAGGCTTCAGGCTGATGAGAGCTAGTACAACAGAGAGGAGACTCAGATTCCCAGAGGAAATTCACTGGCTCTACATAAACGGAGGGGACCTGATGGCTTCCACAGGTTGTAGGAAAATGGTGGAGGACATGCCAAGTTCCCTGAGAAAAACAATTTCAATCTGGGATTCTAAACCTACGTACATTTTTAATGAATGTGGAGGGAGAAATAAAAATTTTTCCAACACTGCAAAGAGCTAAACAAAAACTCTTCCTCAGGAAACTGCTGGAAGCTATAATTTGGCAAAATAAGAGAAAAACAAGAGCGAGAAGATCATGGAGCTGACTTGGTAAACACATAAGCAAGTCCCAAGAGGTGAGCTGCGCCACGTGGCCAACAGACCCTGAGAGCAGGCAGGAAGGGACTGGCTGTGCTGGCTGTGAGGGTTCACCTCTGGGAAAAAGAGCTGCAGGACCATCTGGTGGGGTGATGGATCAGTTAGCATTTACAAAGGCACCGAGGACACCCAGAATCCTAAGAAAAAAATGAGGCAATCAGCTCTAGGAAAAACAAAAACCTGTATGAAAGAGAATTTATAGCAACAGAATTCTCTCAGCTCTTTCATGTTGGGCTATCGGAAATACCAGTAAAAAGCTAAGAAAGCAGAAGTCAGTCAGAAAGCCTACTGGGTGGAAATAGGCTGCTGCTGCCTGGGGCTTCAAGGCCAGCCAGGGGCAGGCAGGAGCAGCAGGAGGTAGGAATGAAGGATTCAAAAGGATGTAAGGCCCATGGGGGTTAGCATTCAGTCACATCTAGGAAGGAGCAAGCTGGAAAGGATGGGCAAGATGGGGAGGGAGGGAAGAGCATCACAGTTCTTTGGACTACATTTTTCTGAGGCATGAGAGGAGATTTTCTGCTGAATGTGAGCAGGAGGGGCACAAGTGGTCTGGGGGACACAGGAAGAAAGCTGGCTCATAAGAGAGAAGAGCGACCACTCCCAGATAAAATGTGATCTGGTCATCTCCTGCTACGGGTGCCCATATGTCTTGCTCTAAGGTGGTCAAAGCTCTGGGAATGCACTGTACAAAGCAAGTCCCTGCCTTCTGGGGACTTCCCCTTGAATGAATGGAGTGACAAGTATAAAAGAAGACTGGTCATTAAGTAGTTGGTGGCTTGGGGGAAGCCAATGGCTGTTAAAACAGGTTGGGTATTAAGTGCAGAGGTGGAGAGAGAAGGCCACGTGTGACTGGGAGTGGCAGTCCCTGTCCTAGTCTAGCTGTGCTGCTATCACAGAACACCTAAGACAGACATGTCTTGGGTGTTCCATTTATAGCAAATGGAAATGGGGGCCAGGAAGTCCAACACCAAGAATGTGGCACATGGGGTCTAGTGAGAGTCTTCTTGGTGCATCCTCACATGGAAGAAGGTAGAGCATTGTCCTCGTGTGACAGCAGCAATCCCCCCATGAAGTTCCAACTCAACACAGATTCAGCCCTGGTTGTGGAAGATCACAGGTTGGGCAATGGCAGGGAAACGTGGCACGGGAGGAGGCACTCCACTGAGCGCGGCTCAGTGGAGGCTCAGGAGCTGGAAGCCAGGACCTCAGAGGTGGCATGGCAGGTAGGAAGTGGTGACAAGACCATTTGTCATCATCTGGTCAAGGAGGTTGTGGAGTATCACTCTGATCTTGGGGTCACAGAAATGAAGGAAGGCAAACAGCTCTGGTAATAAGTTGTATAGTGAGCATATGAGCATACAGGTGTTTGTTATACTAGTC